AGCCCACTGCAACCTCTGCCTCATGGGCTCAAGTCATCCTCCCACCTCACCCTCCTGAGTACCTGGGACTATAGGCATGCGCCACCAGGCACAGCTAATTTTTGTGTTTTTAGTAGAGACAAGGTTCCACCGTGTTGCCCAGGCTGGTCTCAAACTCCTGAGCTCAGGTGATCGGCCTACTTCAGCTTCCCAAAGTGCTGGGATTACAGGCATGAGCCACCATGCTCGGCCTTTTTTTTTTTTTTTTTTCTGTTAATACCAAATACCCAGAACATTTGCTCTATAGAAGGTTAGAACAGTCTAATAATTATAAGATTTCATATAGTACCTGAAATGAGATCATATGTAAGTTAATTTGCCTTATTCATGTCAGGGAATGGCCAAATCCTGTGCTGCTGAAGCAACCAGAAGAAAGCAATTTGAATTTGCCTGTCTGGGATCCTCGGGTATGTGATTTATTATGGAATTTCCTTAAACCTTTTAAGGAAAAGGACATTTTTCTAAATTACAGTCTAAAGTTAGTTCCTCTGGTCTTTTTTCTTCTCAATAACTATAGTGCTCTTTCTCCTTCTGCTGTTTTTCTTTGTTTTTCTGCAGATGATTAGGACCACTAATGCTGATACAAATTTTATGTCATTAAAAATCACCCATGTGAGATAAGTGGGTGTCTCAAGGATAATGTCATAATCCATTGTGAAAAACTGTCTCAAAAGTAATTGGTTTCTTGGCTGGACGTGATGGCTCACGCCTGTAATCCCAACACTTTGGGAGGCCGAGGCAGGTGGATTACCTGAGGTCAGGAATTCGAGACCAGCCTGGCCAATATGGTGAAACCCCCTCTCTATTGAAAATATAAAAAATTAGCCAGGCATGGTGGTGCATTCCTGTACTCTGGAGCTACTCTGGAGGCTGAAGCACAAGAATCGCCTGAACCCAAGAGGCAGAGGTTGCAGTGAGCCGAAATTGTGCCACTGCACTGCAGCCTTGGTGATGGAGTTGAGACTTTGTCTCAAAAAAAAAAAAAAAAAGTAATTGGTTACTACTAATAAAGTACTAAAGTATAATAAAAGATTTGCTTTACAATAGAATTTAAAGCAGATTCATTGTTCTCAGATAGCATAATTCTCTCATATCTTGCATTTTATTTTGCTTTTAGAGTGAGTGCTCGTTCCTCTAGGTAACTAAGGGGAAGTCATCCATTGAGTGGGTGGTGAGAAAAGAATGAGAACCATTAAACCAGATAATGCTTATTGTAGTTATAATACTGTATGTTCTTGATCATGAGATATTGTTTATAAAATCCACATCAATTTAACAGCTTTTCTGAGGAAAAACATACTTCTGCAATGTTTCCTTTGACTTTGAGTTCAGAAATAAATGTAGTTGGGGAGGGAAATGTACTTCTTAGACTTGAGGAAATGTAGTATTAAATTTATATTTCATATTCTTCAGACTTTTGGGGAAATGAAGTGAGGACAACTGAAATAGGAGAATAGATCAGTTATTCTGCTTCTAATTTCACAGGTAAATCCATCAGATAGGTATCATCTCATGCCCATAATCACCCCTGCCTACCCACAACAGAATTCTACGTATAATGTGTCCACATCAACTCGAACAGTAATGGTAGAAGAATTTAAACAAGGTAAACATGTTGGCCCTATTGCCCTTTACATATTCCCACAAGTTTTTGGTTGACAACAATTTTATTCTCTGTTCCAGCTATGGATTGATAGTTAGCGTTATACCTATTATTTCTAAAAATTCTTTCAAATATGGTTGTTTTGTTTTCTAGTAATTAGTTTTCCAAAGTATATGATAATATTAAGGCCAAAAATGGAGCCAACCCAGTCTGGTGGAACCTAATTTTTTGTATTCTAAGAAATAGCATATATTTATATTTTGTTACGCAAGAATTTGGTGGGCCAGGCACAGTGGGCTCATGCCTATAACCCCAGGACTTTGGGAGGCTGAGGTGGGTGGATCACCGAAGGTCAGGAGTTCAAGACCAGCCTGGCCAACATGGTGAAACCCCGTCTCTACTAAAAAACACAAAAATTAGCCAGGCATGTGGCACACACCTATAATCTCAGCTACTCAGGAGACTAAGGCAGGAAAATCGCTTGAACCCAGGAGGAGGTTGCAGTGAGCCAAGACAGAGCCACCACCCGCCAGCCTCGGTGACAGAGTGAGACTCCACCTCAAAAAAAGAAAGAATTGGGTGTGGTGGAGTTTGAGATTTTGTGGTAATAGAGTGATTTAAGAGCTGGTCCCTCTCAAAAACATTATTTATTCTTTGTTTGTTTTGTTTTGTTGTAAATTTAGGTCTCGCAGTCACAGATGAAATTCTTCAAGGAAAATCAGATTGGTCCAAACTACTTGAGCCACCAAATTTCTTTCAAAAGTATAGGTATGAGAAATTTTGTATTTTGTATGTACGTGATTTTTTTTTTTTTTTTTAAGAATGATGTTAAACTTAGTTAATATATGGCAGGCGACAGCTCTTCCTATTTCTTAAGGAGGATAGAGAATAAACTAACAAATCCTAAGTGATAAGAGTATTTCTTCATTCTATTAGTATCTAATCCAGTATTAGTGACTTTTTAAAGTTAATTGTTTTTTACTTGTAGGACCTAGAATTAATTTTGTGAAAATCAGAGCACATTTAATTTTCATCAACTGTGTGCCTTTATTAGCTCATTTGTTCAGTGAGAGGGATGAAAAAAAAGGGATGATTAAAAAGCAAGCCCTAACAATTTTTCTGACTTTTTTTTCCTGATTGTTGCTGACAATTCTTCAGACATTATATAGTATTGACTGCCAGCGCATCAACAGAAGAAAACCATCTAGAGTGGTAAGACTTCTATTTCAAGTTTTCTACCTAGTGTGTGGTAATAGTGACATATTTACATGGTGCTTTGCCATTTATAAAATACTTTCTTGCTTGATTTAGAAAATTATTATTATTATTATTTTGAGAGAGAGAGAGTGTCACTGTTGCTCAGGCTGGAGTGCAGTGTCGTGATCTCAGTTTTGCCATGTTGGCCAGGCTGGTCTCAGAACTCCTCATCTCAGGTGATCTGCCCACCTTAGCTCCCAAAGTGCTGGGATTACAGGTGTGAGCCACCTCACCCAGGCTTTTTTTTTTTTTTTTTGGGAGAAGGAGTCTCTGTCTGTCACCCAGACTGGAGTACAGTGGCGTGATCTCGGCTCACTGCAGCCTCCACCTCCTGGGTTCAAGTGATTCTCCTGCCTTAGCCTCCTGAGCAGCTGGGACTACAGGTGCATGCTATCATACCCTATGGCTAATTTTTGTAGTTTTAGTAGAGACGGGCTTTCACCATATTGGCCAGGCTGGTCTCAAACTCCTGATCTCAAGTGATCCGTAAAATTATTATATCTTACTGGTGATTGTTGTATATGACCATGGAGCTTCAGTGTTTAAAATATGCCATCAAATTAATGTTTCAGAATCAGGAGGGACATGAGAGAAGGATATATGTATAAATTCTGCTTCTTGTCTAGTTTGGATGATTCTGATAGCCACCGTCTTAATAAGTTTTCCATTTTTGCCATCATGTTTACCTTCAACAAAACTCAAAAGACATTTTCTATATCCTTTTAATTTAGGAGATGATGGCCTAAATTTTTCAGATTTAGCTTCCATCAACAGGAGACATTTGTGGTCAAGAAGTAATATTCTTTCTAGCACATCTGAATTTATCCCCTCTGCCTCCAGTATATTCACATCCTTGGCTCTATCAGGCAGAAGCTCTGAGACCGCCAGAGATGGTTGTACTTTCCTTGGGTCTGACTTCTGGAAAAGCAAAACAACAATACTATTTTACTTTTACTTCAGGAGTTTAATGCTTATTTCATTGGTAATTAAAGGGACTCTGAAAATAATCCTATCACTGAAACAGTATTTTGTTTGTCCATATCAGGAGTCAGAAAATAGGGTCTAGGCCAAATTCAATCTGCCACCTATTTTTCATAATGTTTTATTGGCATATAGCCATATTTCTTCATTTATATATTATCTGTGGCTGCTTCTGGGCCTCATAAGAAAGTTGAATAGTTGTAACTGAGACTGTATGGCCCAGAAACCCTAAAATTTACTGTTTAGCCTTTTGCAGAAAAAGTTTACCAACCTCTCATTTAGATGACACCGGAATAACACAGATTTTTGTGGATTGACTGTTAAAGCACACACAACAATTACAATGTATAAGCTTTTGCTGCTGTTCTTTTAAAAAATGTTAAAATGTACTTATAGTTATTCTAATTCATTAAGTCATGAATAAGTTATATAGCTGCCATTGGTCACACTTCTTAAGTGAGGTAGAAATGAAGTTGCAGAAATCTGAAGAAACTTGAGGTATTTTAGTAATATCTAATCCAAATTTAGTGAATTTTTTCTTAAATGCAAAGTCTATCATAATATATGATTGTTTCATATATTATGTACCAATATTAGTTTCATTGTTTAAACATATCTTAGCCTTAGGATTTATTTATTTATTTATTTATTTAAGAGACGGAGTCTCACTGTCACCCAGGCTGGAGTACAGTGGCGTGACCATACTGCAGCCTCAAACTCCTGGGCTTAAGCAGTCCCTCCTGCCTCAGCTTCCTAAGTAGCTGGGGCCTGCAGGTCCATGCCACCATGCCTGGCTGATTTTTTTTTTTTTTTTAATCTTATAGAGATGGAGTCTCACTGTGTTGCCCCAGGTGATCTCAAACTCCTGGTGTCAGGTGATCCTCCCGTCTCAAGCTTCCCAAAAGTACTGGGATTAACGAGCAGGAGCCAGCACACCTGACCTAGCCTTAGGTTTGAGATGTAAGATTTGAAGGTAAAAAAAGATTCGGGATTAGATTAACCAGCAATTTTTGTTCATGCCCTAAGCCATGACTATTTATAGTCTTAACTAAGTCAGAGTATTTTAGATTCAGAAATGCATTAAATAAATCAGTTCTTCTATTAAAAAAAAGAACACACAGGAATCTACCAACTTGTTATTTACTACAATGGCATTTTAAATGGGGCTCCTAATGTATTGGGCTGAAATTTTTAAATGAACATGTAAAGATTCATAGCTAATATGCTGTTTGGCTTACTTGAGTGTAGCTTTCATATTTAAAGTTGACATAAGATAATTTGTGTTTACAATGGCATTTTAAATGGGGTTCCTAATATATTGGGCCGAAATTTTTATTTTATTTATTTATTTAGTGATGGAACCTCACTCTGTCGCCCAGGCTGGAGTGCAGTGGGGTGATCTCAGCTCACTGCAGCCTCCACCTCCCAGGTTGAAGCGATTCTTCTGCTTCAGCCTCCTGAGTAGCTGAGAATATAGGTGTGCACCCCATACTCAGCTAATTTTTTGGTATTTTTAGTAAAGACGGGGTTTTACCACGTTGGTCAGGCTGGTCTCGAACTCCTGACCTCAGGTGATCTGCCCGCCTCAGCCTCCCAAAGTGCTGGGATTACAGGCATAAGCTACCACACCCAGCCTGAAATTTTTTAATGAACATGTAAAGCTTCATAGTTAATATGCTGTTTAGTTTACTTGAGTGTAGCTTTCAGATTTAAAGTGGACATAAGATGAATTGTGTTCCTTGTTTGTTTTAGGGTTGGATTAGTAGAATCTAAAATACGTGTACTTGTTGGAAACTTGGAACGGAATGAATTTATTACTCTTGCCCATGTGAATCCCCAGTCATTCCCAGGGAGTAAGGAACATCATAAAGAGTAAGTTAATTGTTTTTTAATACTGTATTTATTAAATAATGTTATTTGGCATATGCATCATTTCAGAGTAATTGCGAGACTTTTGTTTAACAGGCATTGATGGGAGTATGACACATTATATATTCGAGTTTGAGTGGCTAGGCATTAACATTAAAAATAAGTACATACTACGTTGGTAGCCCAGAAACCCCGGCAAAACACCATCACAATATTTGGAGCATATTTAAGCATATATTTAGTAAGTCATTTTCATAGCCACTTAATCCTCCTTAGAACAGCAGGCAGTAGCTTACCAGTGTTCTGGATGCCACTTTTAAGAATCTGGCCAGACCACTGAAATCTGTATTTGTGAGATAAGAGAGGTAGAGACCACGTTTTAATTATGAAGTAGCATCTGTAACATTGTAAAAAAAAAAAAAAAAATAGTAATTAATGGAAATTCTTAAATTTTACTTTATAGCAACAATTACGTATCAATGTGGTTCCTTGGGATAATTTTTCGGAGAGTAGAAAATGCAGAAAGTGTCAACATAGACTTGACATATGATATACAGTCATTTACTGATACAGGTAAGACTTCATCATCATAGAGCTGTGATTCTCAAACCTGACTATTACTCAGTGTCATCTGCCTACGATCTGGCTGGCTGTACTTATTAAAGTTCCACAATTGGTTAAGTGAACATGGCATATCCATACTGCTATTAAAACAGGAAAGGAGCCGGGCGCGGTGGCCCACGCCCTATAATCCCAGCACTTGGGAGGCAGAGGCGGGCAGATTACCTGAGGTCAGGAGTTCGAGACCAGCCTGGCTAATATGGTGAAACCCCATCTCTACTAAAAATAGAAAAGTTAGCGGGGTATGGTGGCGGATGCCTGTAATCCCAGCTGCTTGGGAGGCTAAGGCAGGAAAATCGCTTGAACCCAGGAGGAGGAGGAGGTTGCAGTGAGCTGAGATTGTCCCACTGCACTCCAGCCTGAGCCACAGAGTGAGACACTGTCTCAAAAAAAAGGAAACAAAAGCATTATGAAGCAATTTCCAAGATACATTAAGTGGGAGGTAAAATTACAGAACACTGTTACACTGTGCTACAATTTATAGAAAAAAGAAAAAATAAATACACATTTGCTTATAATTGCATAGAATATCTCTGGAAGGATGCTTAGTTTTTTAAAAAATGGCAAGAGTGGTTGCTTCTAGGTCAGGGGACAGGATAAGGAGACATCATTGAATACTCTTCAACACTTTTGAGTTTTGTAGCATGTGAATGTTAACTGTTTTATTTTATTTTATGAGACAGAGTCTCACTCTGTCATCCAGGCTGGACTGCAGTGGTGCGATCTCAGCTCACTGTAACCTTCGCCTCTGGGGTTCAAGCGATTCTCATGCCCCAGCCTCCCAAGTAGCTGGAATTACAGGTCCATGCCACCATGCCTGGCTAATTTTTGTATATTTAGAAGAGGAGTTTCACCATGTTGGCCATGCTGGTCTCAAACACCTGACCTCAAGTGATCCACCTGCCTCGGCCTCCCAAAGTGCTGGGATTACAGGCGTGAGCCACCTTGCCCAGCTGAATGTTATGTTTTAAAATACAAAGAAAGGAAAGCTCTTTGTGTATACAACCAGGGTTTGTGACCACAATCATAAAGATGACTTGATTTTTTCCAGGCGCAGTGGCTCACGAGCGCCTGTAATCCTAATACTTTGGGAGACTGAGACAGGTGAACCTCTTGAGCTCAGAAGTTTGAGACCAGCCTGAGCAACATGTTGAAACTCATCTTTACACAAAATACAAAAAAAAAATTACCAGGTATAGTGGCACACGCCTGTGGTCCCAGCTACCTGGGAGGCTGAGGTGGGAGAATTGCTTGAACCCAGAAGGCTAAGGCTCCAGTGAGCCCAGATTGTGCCACTACTCTGTAGTTTGGGTGACAAAGTGAGACCCTGTCTCAAAAAATAAAAAAAAAAAACTTGATTTTTATGGGGTTTGTTCTGTTTTGTTTGTTTTAAATAGAGAGAGAATTTCGCTATGTTGCCCAGGCTGGTCTCAAACTCCTGGATTCAAGCGATTTGCCTACCTCAGCCTCTCAGAGTGCTGGGATTACAGGTGTCAGCCACTGCACCTGGCCAGATTTTTATGTTTTTTTATATGAAATAAATATCACTAAGTACAGAATTACTGAATATATTTCAGGATCAGTGAAAAGAGTATCTTTCGCATCTAGCACACTAGTCACAACCCTGGAATATCTTAATGTATCTGTTATGAATTTAGGATTATTTATCTTAAGAATCTGGAATACTATTAAAATTACTGGTTTGGCTCATCTGGGTTTTCTGAATTCTTTTGAAAGAGTCCTCCTATTATGAAAATGCAGATTCCTGGCCAGGTGCAGTGGCTCACGCCTGTAATCCCAGTACTTTGGGAGGCCGAGGCAAGCAGATCACCTGAGGTCAGGAATTCGAGACCAGCCTGGCCAACGTGGTGAAACCCCATCTCTACTGAAAATACAAAAATTAGCCGGGCGTGGTGGCATATGCCTGTAATCCCAGGTACTTGGCAGGCTGAGGCAGGAGAATCGCTTGAACCTGGGAGGCAGAGGTTGCAGCGAACTGAGATCGCACCATTGCACTCCAGCCTGGGCAAAAAGAGTGAAATGCTATCTAAAAAAAAAAAAAAAAAGGAGAAAAAAAATGCAGATTCCTATGCTTCACCTTAGAACCACTAAATCACACTCTGGGGAGGGAATCAAAGAATCTGCATCTTGAACAAGCACCCCTGGTAACTCTTTTATAAGCAATCTGGAATAAAAACATTCACTATAAATTTTTCCATTCTAATTTGGGCTTAATTGTTTTAAAAAGGAGAAGGTACATTGTTTATTATAAATTTATAAAATATTATTTTTCAGATGAAGAAATTTGAGGCCCCAAGAGATTAATAATTTACCACATCTCACAGTAGTTGCTGTGTAAAACAAGCCTCCCATCCCTGTCTTCAGTGGGCTTTTAATCTAATTGGGTATATTTACAATTAAAACATATTAAGAAATTTATTTGGTTATAATAAAATAAATAAAACCCGTTTTCTTATAAGGTGTGAAAAGCACTAGAATGGGAATCTAGGGCTACGTGGATTCTGATCCTGGCAAGGCATTCAGGGCTGTTTAGCCTCCTTTTCTCAACTGTACAATAAGTATGTATTTGTAAGATGGTTCCTGAAGTCTGTCTTTCTATGATTGTGGTAGCTGCAGTAGTAAATTCTCATAGACAGCTTGAATTGCATCTTGGATATTTGGCATAAAAATTAGCTTAGAAGGCCGGGTACCGTGGCTCACATCTGTAATCCCAGCACTTTCGGAGGCAGAGGTGGATGGATCTTTTGAGATCAGAAGTTTGAGACCAGCCTGGCCAACATAGTGAAACCCCATCTCTACGAAAAATCAAAAAGTAGCTGGGCGTGGTGCCACACGCCTCTAGTCCCAGCTACTTGAGAGGCTGAGGCAGGAGAATTAGCTTGAACCCAGGAGGCAGAAGTTGCAGTAAGCCAAGATTATACCACTGCACTTCAGCCTGGGTGACAGAGCAAGACTCTTGTGTCCAAAAAAAAAAGAAGTAGACTTGGACAAGTAATTATGAGGAGAGATTGCCTTTTGGTAAAATATTAGAAAACAAGATCTGGAACATACTGTACCTTTTTTCATACATTTATGTTGTTAATAAAGTTTGATTATGAGAAAGTTTTAGAAGGTGGACATGGAAAAACTAGTGGATTCGTGGCCAACCACAGTGGCTCACACCTATAATCCCAGCACTTTAGGAGGCCAAGGTGGGCAGATCACCTGAGGTCGGGAGTTCGAAACCAATCTGACCAACATGGAGAAACCCCATCTCTACAAAAAATCTAAAAAGTAGCTGGGCATGGTGGCGCATGCCTGTAATCCCAGCTACTTGGGAGGCTGGGGCAGGAGAATGGCTTGAACACAGGAAGCAGAGGTTGCAGTGAGCCAGGATTGTGCCACTGCACTCCACCCTGGGTGACAGAACAAGAGTCCGTGTCAAAAAAATAAAAAGAATATGGCCGGGCGCGATGGCTCACGCCTGTAATCATAACACTTTGGGAGGCCAAGGTGGGTGGATCACCTGAGGTCAGGAGTTCAAGACCAGCCTGGCCATCATGGTGAAACCCCATCTTAAAAAATAAAATAAATAAATAAATAATAAAAAGAATTAGCTTAGACTTGGACAAGTAATTATGAGGAAAGATTGCCTCTTGGGATAATATTAGAAAACAAGATCTGGAAAATACCTTTTTTCCATACATTTATTTTGTTTAATTATGAGAAAGTCTTAGAAGGTGGACATGGAAAAACTAGTGGATTCATGTCCAGGCACAGTGGCTCATGCCTGTAATCCCAGCACTTTAGAAGGCCAAGGTGGGCAGATCACCTGACGTCAGGAATCAAGACCAGCCTGACCAACATAGAGAAACCCCATCTTTACTAAAAATACAAAATTAGCTGGGCATGGTGTGGTACATGCCTGTAATCCCAGCTACTTGGGAGGCTGAGGCAGGAGAATCACTTGAATCCAGGAGGCGGAGGTCGCAGTGAGCCGAGATCGCGCCATTGCACTCCAGCCTGGGCAACAAGAGTGAAACTCCGTCTCAAAAAATAAAATAAAAAAGAGAGAAACTAGTGGATTCATGAATAGGATTGTGATGTGATGTAAATGTATTAAAAATATTTGTTTTGTGAGAGGGTTATTGGTGGGTGGGTGGCCGGTGGTGATAGTGGGGATATAGTAAAGGCATATGCATTTCAGGAAAATTAGGCAGAACCCTTGGTTCAGAAAGAAGTGTCCCATTTAACGTATTAACATTGTTGCAGTGTACAGACAGGCAAACAATATAAATATGCTAAAGGAGGGAATGAAAATTGAAGCAACTCATGTAAAGAAAAAACAACTTCATCACTACCTTCCTGCAGAAATTCTTCAAAAGAAGAAAAAGGTGAGTTTGTAATCTTAACTTTCCAGTATGGTTTTACTCAGACAAATCTAGGATCAAATTTGCATTCTTAGAGCTCACAAACCTATTGAGAAAAATGAGGAGGATATAGGCAATTCAATCTAGGACTGAAATCTCATTTTCATTCATCACAAGAGATAATTTGCTTAAATGACCTTCAAAATTGAAACCAGTCTTTATAATTTGCTTTTCAAAATCCTAAAGTCGTTTTCTTCTTTCAGCAAAGTCTCTCTGATGTCAGTCGAAGCTCGGGCGGACTTCAATCCAAAAGATCGTCTCTGGATAGCAGTTGTCTAGATAGCTCCAGAGACACTGATAATGGAACACCTTTTAATTCTCCAGCATCCAAGTCTGATAGCCCTTCTGTAGGAGAAATGGAAAGGTCTGTCATATTTCAAATGTGTCCTTTTGGTTTTCTGTTCAGTTTGTTTGATGATAATGTGAACTTTTCTATACCTCTGCTACTGCCTTTCTTTTTAAATTGTTAAAAGATTTTATTTTACAGGCTGCTGATCAGTTTCTTGTTTAGAAATAATTGTGGTAATCCTGCGGGAGATGGTATAGGCTTATGAGCATGTGAGACTAGATAGATACACGGAAATGTACACATTTTTTGCTTAAATTTTTCTCTTCTTACTGGCTCCTCTGCTTTTTCTCCACCTTTATTTCAATGAAATGTTAAAGTACAGGCCTGAGCCAACAGTTGTGGCCAGGCACAGTGGCTGGGGCTTGTAATCCTACAACTTTGAGAGGTCAAGGCAGGCGGATCACTGGAGCCCAGGAGTTCCCAGACCAGCCTGGGCAACATGGTGAAACTCAGCCTCTACAAAAAAAAAAAAAAAAAGGCCAGACACAGTGGCGGTGGTTCATGCCTATAATCCCAGCACTTTGGCAGGCTGAGGCGGACAGATCACCTGAGATCAGGAGTTCAAGACCACCCTGGCCAACATGGCAAAACCCTGTCTCTACTAAAAATACAAAAATTAGCAGGGCATGGTGGTGCGCACTTGTAATCCCAGCTACTTGGGAGGCTGAGGCAGGAGAATCGCTTGAACCCAGGAGGTGGAGGTTACAGTGAGCCGAGATCGTGCCATTGCACTCCAGCCTGGACAACGAGAGTGAGACTCTGTCTCAAAAAAAAAATAATGAGCTCGGCATGGTAGTGCACGCCTGTAGTTCCAGCTACTCGGGAGGCTGAGGTGGAAGAATTGCTTGAGCCCAGAAGGTTGAGGCTGCAGTGAGCCATGTGTTCATGCCACTGCACTCCAGCCTAGGTGACAGAACAGTACTAAAAAAAAAAAAAAAAGAGAAGGCAGTTGTAATTGTTATACAGTAATAAGTGTTTTAAATAAGTAAAGGGGCCAGCTGGTGGTAGCTCCAGCACTTTGGGAGGCTAAGCCAGGAGGATTGCTTGAGCCTCAGGAGTTCAAGACCAGCCTGGGCACCATAGTGGGATCCTGTGTCTACAAGAATAAAAATTTAAAAATCAGCCAGACATGAGGGCACACACCATATTCCCAGCTACCTGGGAGGCTGAGTGGCAGTTACTTGAGCCCGGGAGGTTGAGGCTGCAGTGAGCTGTGAGTGTGCCACTATACTCCAACCTGGGAAATAGAGTGAGGCCTTTTCTCAAAAAAGAGGAAAAAAGTAATATTTAAATCATTTATTGATGATAATTTAACACTTTCATTAGGAATAGTGCTGAGCCTACTGCTGTAATTGTGGAGAAGCCACTGAGTGTACCACCAGCCCAAGGACTCTCCATTCCAGTCATTGGTGCAAGTAGGTATCTAAACTTGTATTATTAATAATTCTATTTACAAAAAATTAGCTGGACATGGTGGCACATGCCTGTAGTCCTAGCTACTTGGGAGGCTAAGGCAGGAGGATCACCTGAGCCTGGGAAGTAGAGGCTGCAGTGAGCCATGATCAAGCTACGGCCCTCCAGCCTGGGTGATGGGAATGAGAGACCCTGTCTCAAGAAAAGAAGAAAATTATATACATAAATGTTTAATTATTAAAATCCTTTTTTTCCTTTTCAGAAATTGACTCTACAGTAAAAGCTGTGTCACCCCCTGCTGTGTGTACCATTCCTACCGTAGTAGGGCGAAATGTCATTCCTAGAATCACAACACCCCACAACCCTGCCCAGGGACAACCACATCTGAATGGAATGTCAAATATAACTAAGACTGTTACACCCAAGAGATCCCATTCCCCATCCATAGATGGGACTTCTAAGAGGTTGAAAGACATAGAAAAGGTAAAGCTACAACTTTAGTGGTGATTCCGTAGTTAATATTTTTAAACTTAATACTAAAACAATTTTCCATAGCTGTTGGTGTTCTGTTAGGAGTTGACTGAAAAGAATATTTACCCAAACCTGAAAGGAACAATATTAATTGCTCATCCTAAAATCAAATTACTAATGTGTCTAAAAATTTGAATGATTGGTCCAAGTTTCTCCTTGACTTACAGAAGTCATTATTGATAACGAAATCTCATTTCTTGGCTGTTAATATGCCCTGCTTCCAGTAGGTGGTGGTAAAACTGTATTCGTTAGAATCTGAATTGATTTAACCAAAAAGATCACTCAAACTGTAGAAATTAACAGTGGCAACTGAAGTCAATCTGATTTAAATTATCTTCCCTTACCAACCCATGTTTATAGTAATTTTTATAATAGCCTAACCACTAATTAGTCTTCCAGTCTATATAGATTTGTATGGTTTTTGCTGATACATACTAGCAATTTATTTCAATGTTTATATTTTAGTTTATTCGACTTGAATCAACATTTAAGGACCCTCGCACAGCTGAAGAAAGAAAAAGAAAATCAGTGGTAAATATATTAATAGTGTGCTTCAGAATATTTACTGTAAAACTCCATGTATCAGGAAAAGTGCCATATTAGAAAGTAGGTCAGACAAGATCTACTGTTAGGTTTTAGTCAGGTTTTATTTTAAGTAGAAATAAGTGTTTGCATATAGGAAAGTTAGTTTTTACTTGTGTTGTTTCTTCTGTTTTTAGGATGCCATTGGAGGAGAATCTATGCCTATTCCTACTATTGACACATCTCGCAAAAAGGTAACAGTCTTATTCATAGGTACAGTACATAGGTAAAACTCATAGGTAATCTACAAGTAAAAAAGGCTTATTAAGAGCCTTAGCACTGGGAAAAGGAAAGATTTTGTCCCTGTCCTGAAGACTAGCAGTGTAGTTGGGTTGGGGTTGGAGATAGCAAAGTTTGTAGTTCTAAATGTATGTATCTCAGAAGTCTAAAAAAGAGAGAATAGTTTAAGACAACTTTATTATTTATTTAGATTATGTTCACCCTTTGTTTTTTATCTTTAAAGAAGCAGTTGGATGCTTAGCACATTAATTTCTTACCAAGTACCTGGTAATATATATCTGTTGTGTACTACTGCTTACTGTTCAAACATAGGTTTGATAATTAGGAACTACATGTATTAATATTTTAGAGGAACCAACTGTAGTGGTATATATAGTAAATACCTTTAAAACATGAGCTAAAAGCCCCTAAATTATAATTTAAATGTTTATTATTTGAAGAATTACTTTTATAACTAATAATATGTAGTAGTATTAAGTATGTTATGCTAAAAAGCAAGTACTCAAAAAGCAGCCTTGTGTAAATCAAAGTCCTCCTCTGAGTTTATAGTGAACAGAATGGCTTATTTTCACCCCTCCCATTAAATAGTAAGGTGCTTCTCATCATCAGCTCTTACCCTGCCAGGTTTTCCACAATGTAGTAGCTTTTCTAAAGCAAAATAGAATACTCGCAGGCCATTTGTTGTAGAATTTGAGCCTGTAACATAAGATTAAGTTACAAAAAATATGATGTACAATTATGTGATAGTGGAAAAAATTTTTGAGATGGATATTAAAGTACAAAAGAGTGGAGTGACATATGGATTTTTTAATATATCAAGTCTAAAGTGAAAGTGGCTACACCAAACAATTCGCACAAAATTGTAATAATATCTGAGACTTGGTTATGGCATTTAAGTCAGTATTGCCCTGTTTTCTATTACTTTATATATCTCAAATTGTTCATAATTGTTTTAATGCATATGGATATGATACAGATACTGGCTTAGCCAAGGTAAAACGAGAGGAGAATTAAGCAGTCATCTCTTGACAAGAAACTAACTGTCCCCATCCTGTACATCTTCACACTCCTGCCACTTCTGACCTTTCTCTTAGCCCTTTGCTTTTCACCTGTGACTGTAAAAAGAAGTCATGCCGAAAGCAAGAGTTCCCTATGAACACTGGAAGGAAGTATTCATTGCATACTTGAGTGTTCAGGAGCTAGAGGGATTGGGAGAAAAACTCAAGAGTTTTTTTGTGAGTGACTTTCTAGTTGGGCCTTTATAACATATGGTGTGCTTTTCCTTTTTTGTTTCTCTTTCTTTCTAATAGAGACTACCCAGTAAAGAACTACCAGATTCATCATCTCCAGTTCCAGCAAATAACATCCGTGTCATCAAAAATTCCATTCGACTGACCCTTAATCGGTAAAAGCAGTGCCTCCTCTCTTAAGTGAACAAGCAATCATTTAGTGACATAGATGCAGCCACTGTTTTTTCAAATAGAAGTGGCTGTCATACATGAAATATGGTGAAAGTTACAGCCTCAGCCTCATTAACCTTGAAGTGGTTTCTGAACTGTCACACTTTGACCTGCAGATGCTGTAGCATTCTCTTACTGATTGCTACATACACTTCTCTGAGGATCACCTGCTGTCAAATTGCAGTCTACAGTATTACAGCTTTGCATTTGGGGGTTTTACTGCCTTAACTTTCAACGCTTGTTATGGGAACCAGTTCTTGGCCACTTGGACACTGATAACAAGTCCTGAACTCCATTTTGTGTGTGTGTGTGTGTGTGTGTGTGTGTGTGTGTGTGTGCGCGCGCGCATTTTTTTTTGTTTGTTTTTGTCTTATGTTGTAATCATTGTATAGACCTAAAAAAACAGCTGAAAACAAACAAAAAAATTGTCTTGTATTTTCCAAATGTTAACACATTTACTTTAGCATTGAAGCCACTTTGTGAAACCTGAGATAAATGAATGTGAGGTATCTTTTCTGCTTTCCTTATTTGTGTAGATGTACTGTCTGTTCTGTTGATTTAAATTATTTTTTTCCAGATTGGCACATGAAATATTTAAACTTTTTTGTGTGCCTTTCTGTCCAAATGTTGCTTAGTTACCAGGGAAGATTAGTCCAGTGATTACATAAGAGTTGGGCACCATAAATTCTCTATACTTTGCCTCCCATGGAGGCCTTTGAAATGCATCTTTATTAAAAATCAAAATATAACCAGGATACTGAAAGTCAGTATATGAATGGTAAAATTGTTACATATCCTATTTCATGCCATTCTTGTTAGTTGACTGGTATTTTTTACCGAGGAGCAACGCATTCCAGCATCAACAATAAGATACCTTTAAGTATGGCAAACTTGTATTTTTGAGGTGTAAAATTAACTTGGCATGATAATTCCTGACCATTATTTACCCCACAACTTCAAATAGTTTCTTCATGGACTAGGCATGCAGAAATAAGCAGTGGATTTTATTGAAACCTTAAAGGCATTTTGAATGACATTGTTACCAACCATTAATTGGCTCAGGACCTTTGTAATTTTTATTTAACTATATGAGTTGTCTTTTTTTACGCTGCTTTTTTCAATGCATTTCTTAATATTTTTTAAGTTTCATGAATGCATGCTCAGTTTATTAAAATCCATAACCATGTAATTCTTGTAATATGTTGATTCAGTGTTTTGTAAATGAAGTCGTATGTATTTTCAGAGTATTTTTGTATGTACTGTAAGATACCATCTTTTCAAAGAGAAACCTTTAAAACCTTTATTGTCTCTCCTTAGTCTAATTTTTTAAATATGGATTATGCTTGAATTATTATATTTAAAATGAAAATGTATAGATTACACAGCCAGGAATGCTAGTATTTATCACCTTCTTCAGATTTCACTCAGCATTTAGTAGGTTCAGTAGGAAAAACCCAGAATGGTATATTGAGTAGTGTGGGGAAGATAACTCGTTGTGTATTTTGTAGGACTCAGGGGATGCCATCTAGCAGGTGGAGAAATAGCAGTCCATTTTCTCTTGCAAGCCCTTTACTGTTGAGTTGAAATTCTTGAATTTTCAGAGAGCAGTGTCCTCCAGGTTCCACTCCTTCCCGTTAGGTCTCTGAAATGTAAATTCTAATGTTTACCTTTACCGTGGAAAACATGAAAAGTGTTAGAAGTAAACAACAGCAAGGAAGAAATGATTGTTCTCTTATTCCCTTTTTATATAGCAGCAAAAGATAAGAATTAAGTCACATAACCAAGTTGTAGCTTCCTTGGCAAAGCTGTTGTCTTAGCTGACTCTTTCCCTTTAGTCACATGTTTTGGGATTTGTTCTACAAATACTCTATTTGAGCAAAAGTGAATGGTTATGAAAGGACTGAATAATTAACGTGACTTCAACCTTTGAAAACTTTGGTAAGGAATTTGATTAAATTTTATATACTTGTGTATGTATGCATTTCCACATTTTAATATCTCTTGCTTTTAAATCAGCCTTCAAAGTCTCTTTAGGAATTCCTTCCATATCCATGTTTACTCTGTTGTATCAATAGACTCCCTGGAGTGACTAGTGGAGTTTTTCTTTAATAAGGAAGCAACAAGTCTAATCTTGTACTATAGCATAGGCATTTCTTTTAGATTAAGGAGCCCATTCAACATGTGAATGAGTCAACATTAGAGTCCTCAAGGATAGCATTCTTCAACCTGTTTGGTAACTGAGGAGTTGATAGTGGGGTTTGTCGAGAAATGAAATGTTTTCTATCCTGACCAGTAAGTAGAAGTTTCAGTACATTTCATTAACTTAGTGGGAAGCTTTCATTGTACTGGTTCCAAGTAAAAACGGAGAAGGTATGATCTGGAATTTTGTTATGATCAGAGGCACTAAGTACATGTGTTTGTGGGGTTTTTTGTTTGTTTTGTTTTGAGACAGAGTTTCGCTCTTGTTGCCCAGACTGGAGTGCAGTGGCGCAATCTCAGCTTACTGCAACCTGGCCTCCCAGGTTCAAGCGATTCTCTTGTCTCAGCCTCCCAAGTAGCTGGGATTACAGGCATCCACCACCACACCCAGCTAATTTTTGTATTTTTAGTAGAGACGGGGTTTCACCATGTTGGCCAGGCTGGTCTCGAACTCCTGACCTCAGGTGATCCACCTGCCTCAGCCAGACGTGAGCCACCACGCTCAGTTGTGTTTTTCAAGTGTGAAAAAATACCTAGAAGTATATTTGATAAAGGCAAATAGTTTGTTCTTCAGTATATAGACACATGTTCATTTTCACAAGGGTATTACATTTTAATTTGCTCATTTTTCAGTAACTAGCCCTTGAGAATATATATGAAAGGAAAACACTTATCTGCTAGCTTAAACCTTAGGGACCTAACCAATTTGAGATAAGAGGTACATGGCTTACAACTTTGTAAAATGGGGGCAGGAGAATGATATTTTTTTTTTTTTTTTTTTTTAATTTAAACAGAAGCCCACTCTGTCACCCTGGCTGGAGTGCAGTGGAATGATCTCACCTCATTGCAGCCTCTGCCTCCCGGGTTCAAATGATTCTCCTGCTTCAGCCTCCAGAGTAGCTGGAATTAACAGGCCTGTGCCATCACGCCTGGCTAATTTTTGTATTTTCAGTAGAGACAGGATTTCACCATGTTGGCCAGGGTGATCCTGAACTCCTGACCTCAAGTGATCTGCCTGCCTTGGCCTCCCAGAGTGCTGGGATTACAGGCATAGCCACTGCTTCAGCCAGGAGAATGAATATTAAAAGTCTGTGTTCGTCTTTAAAATGAGTGCTTTGTTTTAAAGCAGCAATTTAGTAGCATTATTAAAATGCTTACTTTAGTAGCAAGTAAGTAAAGATGGGCAGTATCAAAATTGGCTAAACTTATTTTCCACTATGTTCCACACCTTTGAAATAGGAATTCCTAACTTGAGAATTGTGAACAACCCTCAGGTAATTCTTTGTAATTGTGTATAAGAAGTCCTAGTGGCCGGGCGCGGTGGCTCACGCCTATAATCCCAGCACTTTGGGAGGCCAAGGCAGGTGGATCACGAGGTCAAGAGATCGAGACCATCCTGGTCAACAAGGTGAAACCCCGTCTCTACTAAAAATACAAAAATGAGCTGGACATGATGGTGCGTGCCTGTAGTCCCAGCTACTCGGGAGGCTGAGGCAGGAGAATTGCTTGAACCCAGGAGGCGGAGGTTGCGGTGAGCCGAGATCGTGCCATTGCACTCCAGTCTGGGCAACAACAGCGAAACTCCGTCTCAAAAAAAAAAAGAAGTCGTCCTAGTTTACATGCATCTTTCTGGGGGAGAAGTGTATAGTTTAGATCAGCTTCTCCAAGTGGTTCATTACCCAAAAAAAAAAAAAGTGTGGAAGTTGGGGTTAGGAGACACCAGGATTGAATAATCCTGGAATATTATATAATTTCCTCCCTTTGATTTTGCTGTGATACACTGAAAATGTGCTGTGACTTCTAACTAGTAAAATGGGCTGATGAGGGATTCTGGAATCCCAAATTTCGAAGTTTATAACTTAAAATGAAATCATAAAGTCCTCAGCATTTAGAAGAATGCTTAATCTCAGATTTACAAATGTCCTCATGATAACTTAGATTCATTAACAGGATCAAACTTGAGTTCAACAATTTCAACCCAATGTTATCAGAGTACATTAGTTTAGAATGATCATTAGAAATGGTAGAAAATAGAATAAATTATTAAAGATCCCAAAATGTTGAGTTCTGTAGCATGAAACATCTCTTGTTCCTCCATGTTTGTAGTTCAGGCCAGAACAAATTAAACAGACCAATAAATACAAAAGCTTTAGTTAAAAAAAAAAAAAAGTAATTTTGTATGAATTATAATTGTACATGTGCTTACATAACCTATTAAATCATCCAAAACTCAGAATTTAAATAGCAAATAGTACAGATGATGGAAGACAGCCAGTCTCAGTAATGGTAATTTTTGTTTAATTGTATTCCCAAATTCTCTTTTTTTTTTTTTTTTTTTTTGAGACCGAGTTTCGCTCTTGTTACCCACGCTGGAGTGCAGTGGCACAATCTTGGCTCATTGCAACCTCCACTTCTAGGTGCAGGCGATTCTCCTACCTCAGCCTCCCAAGTAGCTGGGACTACAGGTGCCTGCCACCACCCCCGGCTAATTTTTGTATTTTTGTAGAGATGGGGTTTCACCACGTTGGCCAGGCTGGTATCAAACTCCTGACCTCAAGTGATGCACCCGCCTTGGTCTCCCAAAATGCTGGGATTACAGGCTTGAGCCACCATGCCCAGCTTCTATTTTTTCTGAAACAACCTTTCAGATATACTTTTATATTTGAATTAGTTGAACATAAGATGATCATCAAGCTTGCTATAGTTTTTAAGCTATTGCTACATTTGAACAAAAAGATCCATATACTTATCCTAGAAAGTACTTAGGATACCTTTGAGATTAATGGTGCTATATCACCCCACAGTGCTTTGTAAAATGAATGCAGCTGCTGTTCCATTCTAGCTAGCTGTTTGTGTAGTTCATATTAATTTACCCTGCCTTTTATTTGGATTGCCTTATTTCTTAGTTGTACACATGCACCTCATTATTTGCCTGGAATAAGTAATCAAATAAACTTGCTTTGATAAATAGGTGATGATTGAGTGATGTTATTTGGGACTAAAAAGTACCAAGTAGCTGGGATTACAGGCATCCACCTGTAATCCACGGAAGTGGATTACAGAAGACTTCCACAGAAGTCTTTACTTAGTTAGTTACCTTTTCAGTGGCAATTTT